GCTTATAGCCAAATAGCATCACTATAGCAACTTTATAGTCTTCTCGGTTTAGATATCCTTTGTTGTTTTCATCACATGCCTCAAAAACCTAAAAAAAAAAAAGATATTAGAAATTTAAAAGCTCACTTATCTTGATGTATATTAGAGCTGTGAAAATCCTTCAAAATGTGCTTCAGAACATACAATAACATGGAGTTAAAATTTTTAAATCAACAAAGTCTTTTTACAGCCTTAGTAACTGCTTCAGAAGCTGTTCCTAATTCTATCTTTATGTTTGTGTATGAAAGCAACATAGTTATTTCACCATAATTTTAAATTAATTTATTTGTAAAGTAAATGGTTAGTTTTCAAGACAGTTTTATCACTGTTTTGCAAACTTAAACAGCTCCAACTTAAAATTTGAAATTATATTGTCTGTAATGTATAATGCTATGTATATATTAGATCAGGAACTTTGTGGACCTCAGGGACCACCAAACTCATAATTTTAAATCCCACAGACCAGAGACCCTGGGAAAATCCCCAAAAAAGTCTGCAGGAAAATTCCCCACCCCATTTTCTTACCGATCGATCATTCTTTATTTGGGATCGCAGGATACCGTCTCCAGCTCTGTTCTCAGGGGAAGAGAGAGAGAGACTTTTGGCTTCATGCAAGGAAAGCAGCAGAAGCAACAGAAGTCTTTCTTTCTCTCCCCCAAACTCCGCCAGAAATGAGTCTTTGCAAGACTTGTCACGCCGGCACAGCCTCTTGGAGCAGATTCCTTGCAGGGTCCCAAAGACTCATTTCTGCTGGAGTTTGGGGGAGAGAAAGAAAGACTTTTGCTGCTTTCCTTGCATGCAGCCAAAAGCAGAAGAAAGAAGCGAAAAGAAGCAGCCCGGTGGCCAGGCCAGGCATGTAGGGCAAATAGGGCAAGTTCTTCCCCTCCGCCCTTTCCCCCCTTCCCTCACTACCTCGTGTTGTTTGCAATGCAAGCAACGCAAGCCTTGTGTTCCCGCGGGTCATTTGGGTGGCACAGCCTTGTGTTCCCACACAGCCAGGATTAATTGCTTTGGGGGGTGCCATTTCTCTGCGGACCACCAAAATTTTCTCACAGACCACCAGTGGACTCCGGCCCACTGGTTGGTGACCACTATATTAGACAACCCCTGTTCTGTAGGTCATTGTTTCAGAGATATTTCCTTATCCAAACAGAGAAACCAAATGACTGTGGGTGTGCAAAAAGGCAGTGCAAAAAAAACAAAACAGCAAAGTTATAATCAGAAGCCAACATGGGTTTGTCAAAAACAGATCATGCCTTTATCAGATATACAATAATCTAGACACAGTAAAACAATTACTTATGAATGTTTAACAAATGGCCCAACACAGAGGTACATATGACATAACTGGCCAGCCCAGTGCCAAACTGTTCACCTCTTTTCTGCCTCTTCCTACTCTTGAACTTCCTTTCTAACTCTCTTGTCTTCTACACTTGAGACTATTTTTAATAAAGCTAATGATGCAGTGAATTTGGCAATCCCAACCATTTAAGACCAATAAAAAAGAATTTATAATGCTCACAATTTGAATATCTTTCCTCAAAAAATGTACCTATTTTTTTTCAGCAGCTGCTAAAATAGTCACAAAATAAGAAAATGTCAAAACAATCCTTAATTGGATAATAGTACTAATGCAGTTCAGAAATACTTTGATATTCTTTGAATGTATATGAAAGAGATTAGAGAAAATACACATGAATCTAATAATACTATATTTCTCATTAAATAAAGATCTCAGCCTCTTTTAGTTACAGAATCATGCAGCAACATGTCTTTAAAATAACCCAAAGAGAAAAGAAAAATGACAAATTGCCTACTGATGATCACTAGAACCACTTTGTGAAGAAAACCGTTAATGAAATACATGAACAAATTATCAGGTTCTGAAAACACACCAAAGCTACTTCAGAATCTTTGATTAATGATAAAAAGGAACAACCAATAAGCTGTTATTTTAAATTCTAGATATCAATTACAAATACATTAGAGATTATAAGGCTTTTGGAAGTGAGCATAAAGCAATTATCACATTCCAGAGAACTAGGAAAAATAGATCTAATTCTATCTTCCATTGAAATTTTAATGCTAACATTAGTACAACCCATAAACAAACTTCCTACCTGGTTAGAATAAAACTTTTAAAATCCCCATCTTCCAGGCATAATGAATGTATAAAAATGTTACATCAGTACATTAATTCAGATTAAAGTTCATTCAACATATGGTATATGCCATACATAGTACAGAAACAGCACTTGTTGGTGATCTTTAATGATGCATCTGTCCTGATTGATCTCTTAATCATGATGTCCTTCTGGACCATCTATGGGCTTTGGGATTATGAGAAATGGTGCTGCAGTGATATTAGACTCCTGGGTGAGGTTATCCATCAGTATGGGGTTAGGTGAAATCAGTAAAGTGATGATGGTTCTCTGTCTCAGCCCCTATTCAGTAATGTTGTCAAAAGTCTGATCCTACTTCTGTGATGATCTGGATTGAAACAACAGACTCAAGCTCAAAGTTGATAAGACCAAGTGGGTTCATGGACCTTCCATTCCTAGGGATTTGTAATGTTAGTTTTAAATGGAATAATATACCTCTGTGTTGTGGCTCCGAGTCCTGAGTCTGCATTCTTAGAGGAAGAGGATTCGGAAGATGAGGTGGAATTGGGAATGCCTTCTTCCCCAGGACCTTCCTCTTCGGCAATGCCTTCCTCCCTGATTATACCTCAGGTTTCGGCAGATTACCGAGAGGGACAGCCTGAGGCTAATCAGGAGGAGGAGGAAGGCATATCAGAGCAGCCTTTGACAGAGAATCAAGCAGACGAACGCTGGCTTGATGCTAGGCAACGTCACAAGAAAAAGTGTGAGATGCAACGTAGGAGACCTGGATGAATCAGAGACTGAGCTGAGTTAGTTACACACCCCACAGGGAATAAAAGTGGGTGTGTTTGCTCTAGGAACTCTGTGTGGGACAAAGTGTGAATTTTTCTGTGGAGCTTCGGTGTATCCTGTTTCTGGAAAGCTTTAGTGATTTATGTTTCTGTTATCTTGTCGGACTTGGCAGGCAGTAAACATAGTGTGTGAACATAGCCAGCTCAAAGGAATTAACTCTGTAAATACTGAATCTTCTTGCCTGCTTGTATTTGGTCGGAGTTTGGCCTTCTCATCTATCTTGTGAAGGTGAGACATAACACCTCTGTATATAACAGATACACAATTCCGAGAACTTTTGGATGCATTGTTCCTGCTTAAGCAACAGGTTGTAGCTGCGGCCAAGATGAGCTTTGCACAAATCTGACTTTTGCACCAGTTGTACCCATTTCTGAACTGAGGGCCCTATTCACAATTATTCATGCATTAATCACCTCTCATCTGGATTCTGGCACTTTGCTCTACTTGAGGCTGCCCTTAAAATCCACTTGGAAACTTTAACTGGTGCAGAAAAAGGAAGTACAAGCAAATTATGATATGTCCATATAAAACTTCTCCACCTCTATCAGCAGGCTTCCAGGTGAAATTCAACATGCTAGGTGTCATATATAAAAGCCTTTTATGTCTTAGGTTCATTTATTTAAGGGACTATTTTTCCCATGGCCTCTGCCTATTTTTTCCCATGTATTCCTCCTAATTGCAAGAATTAGGTATGTCTAATTTAATGAAAAGAAGGACTAGGGATGACATGATAGCAGTGTTCCAATAACTGGGGGGGGGGGCATCTCAAAGAAGGGGTTAAGCTTTTTTCCAAAGCACCTGAAGGAAGAACAATAAGCAGTAGATGGAAACTAATCAAGGAGAGAAGCAATTAAAAATAAGGAGAAATTTCCTGACAGTTAGAACAATTAATTGGTGGAACAGCTTGCCTTCAGAAGTTGTAGGCACTCCATCACTGGAGGTTTTTAAGAAGAGATCAGAAAACAAGCACTTGTCTGAAATGCTAAGGATTTGCTCCTTGAGCAGGGTGTTAGACCAGAAAACCTCCAAGGTCCCTTCTGACTCTGTTATAATCTGTTAATTTGACACAGTTGGACATACTTTTGGTCACATCTTTCAAGCATGCCTCTCTTACTGGATTGGATGGAGCAGGCAGAAATAACTGGGGAGAGGCAGTCCCACAATTCACCTACTCATGTTCCACCTCAGGCTTTACAGGGGAGAACCAACAGTTCGTATTGCACTTGGAAACATACTGGCAATTTAAGGGCATGCTGAGCAGCCCCCATAACTGCCTATCCTGCTGCATTCTGGACCAGTTGAAGCTTCTGGATATTCTTGTAAGGCAGCCCCATTGGAAGGTGCATTGCAGGACCCACTCCAGTGGCGACCAAGGCAATTCCCTCCCAGGAAAGGACGCAACCTACACACAAAACGAAGTTGTATTTTGGCACGTATTTGGGGAAAGTTTCCCGCTCCCCCAGTGTTTTCTTGGAATTTATCCTTCGCAGGTTGCATTGGTAGGATTTTAGGGGTCTTCAGCAGTTGGGGATCTTTAGATGAGACGAGAAAATAATGGGACATCGATAATAAAAAGCCCCATTGAAACTACCTACTTCAAGCCATCGCTTCTTGCGGTATTTCACGGCTGGGCAATCTTTTGATTTCGCCGCTTCATTAGCAGCCGCGCACATTGCCAACAGCAGAAGCACCGCCAACTTGCATGAAGTTTCCCTTAGCAACGGAGCGACTCTCTTCCCCAAACTTCCTCGTCACGATCAAAATGCGGATTTGTCAGCCGCCGAAGGTGTGAGAAAGACCCGTAGGAGGCATTGGCCGGGAAAAAGCTCTTATATTTCTTGATAAACGGCCCAATCATTGGTAGCGACGGGATGTCAATCATGGAGTGGGGGGGGCGGAAGCCTTACCCGGAAGAGGAAGTTTGTCTCCCGAGTGCGGCTTTCCCCCCACTTTTTAAGCAGTTTCGCTGGTCAATCGCAGTTCACTCGCAGAAGCCACCAGTGAGGAGGAAGTTTCCTCCTGGGTTTTTGGGGGGAGTTATTTTTCTGTTTCTTTTCTTCCATTTTCTTTCACATATAGCTTGTTCAGGTTTGATTTGTAGCGCGCAGAGCTTCCCTCCCTTCTCTCTTATATGAACAAGTTCCCACGGTCATTTTCTGTTACGAACTGTGCGACGTGGCTCGCGATGGATTTAAGTATATAGAAGAGAGGAACGATCTAAAATCACTAAATTCGTGACATTGAATTATCCACACGTACTGTCTCTTGCCCAGCATATTTTATTAATCTGTTTTATATCGATGATGGTTTGCCCTTAATAAGGATAGAAAACGAGTTTGCCTGTTACAGACTTACTTAGGAACGGAGGGCGGCGAACCAAATATAATTGAATTCTCTTTGGATGCCCCTGAATTGGAATGTGTGAAAGCTGAAGGCGCAGCATGGTCGGTAATTAACCTCTATTGTGAGAAGGTGAGAGAAGTAGTCTCTTCATTCCTTTGGACTTTCCTGGAGATCTGTCCCCTTTTTTTCTCCTTGGTATAGGATATCATGTCTCAGGAAAGTCAGCATGGGAAATGGACATTGTCCAGTAGTGAAGATAGTATGGATGAGTTAGCTGATTCTGACAAGCCTTCTACCTCTGTGAGGCAGAGAGGTCAGGAAATTAAAGAGAGTGGCCACTCATGCTCAGAGGCCAGGAAAGCTGCTCACAAGAGAAAAATGTCGTCTCTGACATATGCAGCTGGAAACTTTTCACAGGAGGAGGCCTCAGATCAGAAATTTGCCCGGGAAGATTTTGGCTGGTGTCTTTCCAGTAGTGAAGATGAGGATCTTAAAACCTCTAGTGGAAATAGAGATGCAATAACTACAGTCAGAAAAGTAGAAAGTGGTACACCCTTGGAGCTACCAACAGCTTGTAAGATTTCATCAAGTCACAAGTCTGCAGACCCATCTGAAGTGCAGGACAAATGGGATCTATTGAATGGGCAGAACCCTTTCAGATTCTTCCTTACCAAAGTCAAAGGAATTAAGTCAAAGTACAATTCTGGAGCCCTTCATATAAAAGGTAAGCAATATCAAGGCAAAAATATGGCGGGGAAAATGTGCTTAAACGTGTTCGATGCTTTGTTTTTCTAAAACAATTATACATGCTGTTGCTGGCATATAAGCAATGTAGTGCAGTAAGAACCTGAGGCCCTAACATTACCTAGGAAAACTGCCCCCTGCTCAAACTCCCTATTTGTTGATTTTTTAAAATATATATATATATATATATATATATAAAAATGGGAAACTAGCATGCTATAGAATATCAATCTCAATGATAGTCTGCATTTTCAACAATGCCTGTGGGCTCTACATAGACCCCAAAAGTATTCTTAAAAACTAAATTAGTGGATTCTGCAAAATGTGCCTACTAATTCAAAAAGACTGAAAGAGCTTAGGAATTTCTTACATAATTACCAAATTGCCTTCAACCAATCAATTATATTTATGGCCAAAAGGCCCAAAAGATTAAATTTTTCTGTGCTTTATGACTGGTATTGCAAAATACAAATGAACATAGTCGAAAATAATAAAAAAGAATTGCTATATCTTGTTTGATATCTGTGATGGCTTGTTTTTGTAAGTCATTCTTCTTAAAATGTATTTATCAAGATACTAAACATATATCTTAATCAATTTTGTGCCTTTCTTATTTTGCTCCCAGCATATAGGTGAAACTCGAAAAATTAGAATATTGTGCAAAAGTTCATTTATTTCAGTAATGCAACTTAAAAGGTGAAACTAATATATGAGATAGACTCATTACATGCAAAGCAAGATAGTTCGAGCTTGATTTGTCATAATTGTGATGATTATGGCCTACAGCTCATGAAAACCCCAAATCCACAATCTCAGAAAATTAGAATATTACCATGCAATCAATAAAACAAGGATTGTACATGGAACAATATCGGACCTCTGAAAAGTATAAGCATGCATATGTACTCAGTACTTGGTTTGGGCCCCTTTTACAGCAATTACTGCCTCAATGTGGCGTGGCATGGAAGCTTTCAGCCTGTGGCACTACTGAGGTGTTATGGAAGACCAGGATGCTTCAATAGTGGCCTTCAGCTCTTCTGCATTGTTCGATCTCATGTCTCTCATCTTTCTCTTGGCAATGCCCCATAGATTCTCTATGGGATTCAGGTAGGTGAGTTTGCCGGCCAATCAAGCACAGTAATTCCACGGTCATTGAACCAGGTTTTGGTGCTTTTGGCAGTGTGGGCAGGTGCCAAGTCCTGCTGGAAAATGAAGTCAGCATCCCCATAAAGCTCGTCTGCAGAAGGAAGCATGAAGTGCTCCAAAATTTCCTGGTAGACGGTTGCATTGACCCTGGACTTAATGAAGCACAGTGGACAACACCAGCAGATAACATGGCTCCCCAAATCAAGACAGACTGTGGAAACTTCACACTAGACTTCAAGCATCTTGCAGTGTGTACCTCTCTGTTCTTCCTCCAGACTCGGTCCTTGGTTTCCAAATGTGATGCAAAAGTTGCTCTCATCAGAAAAGAGGACTTTGGACCACTGAGCAACAGACCAGTTCTGTTTTTCTTTAGCCCAGGTAAGACGCTTCTGACGTTTGTTGTTCAGGACCAGAGGAATACAACATTTGAAGCCCATGTCCAGGATCCATCTGTGTATGGTGGCTCTTGATGCACTGACTCCAGCCTCAGTCCACTCCTTGTGAAAGTCCCCAACACTTTTGAATGGCCTTTTCCTGACAAACCTCTCCAGGCTGTGGTCATCCCTGCTGCTTGTGCACATTTTTCTTCCACACTTTTCCCTTCCACATAACTTTCTATTAATGTGCTTTGATACAGCACTTTGGGAACATCCAACTTCTTTTGCAATTACCTTTTGAGGCTTTCCCTCCTTATGGAGGGTGTCAATCAGTTATGGTTTTCTGCACAACTGTCAGGTCAGCAGTCTTTCCCATGATTGTGATTCCTATTGAACCAGACTGAGAGACCATTTAAAGGCTCAGGAACCCTTTGCAGGCGTTATGGCTTAATTAGCTGAAATATTGGACCTTTTCACAATATTCTAATTTTCTGAAATTGTGGATTTGGGGTTTTCATGAGCTGTAAGCCATAATCATCTCAATTATGGCACATCACCACTTGAACTATCTTGCTTTGCATATATTAGGTTCACCTTTTAAGCTGCATTACTGAAATAAATGAACTTTGCACGTTTCGAATTTCACCTGTATGCAGATTGGTAAATCTGCAGGCAGGTTCTGTACTTACCTGTATCTCAATTGAATATTTGGCTAGAAACCCTCAAAATTAAGAAGGGCCAACAAGTCCAAGTTCTAATATTGTTGAAATTATGGCTGCAAAAACCTTGCCAGAGTGTACTAAGACACTCCTTTGAACCTGAAACTTAAACTGTGACAATTCTAATATTCCTGGAAATTAATACTAGAGCTGAACATTGTAATTAGTTTTTTTAGTTACTATTTAAACCAAACCAGGACCAGAAATTATCTTAATTTTATTTTGTTTAAATCATGAAATGTAAGCAAGCTGCATTTTTTCCTAATTTGGATAAACCGGAATATTGCAATTAGTTGAAAATAGACCTAGCTGCTTTTAGTTGGCAACAATGAAGGGAGGCTGTTTAGCAATAGCAATAGGACTTACTGTAGACTTATATACTGCTTGACATTGCTTTATAGCCCTCTCTAAGCGGTTTACAGAGTCAGCATATTGCCCTCAACAGTCTTGGTCCCTGTTTTACTGACCTAGATGGAAGGCAGAATCAATCTTGAGCCAATGAGAATTGAATTGTCAAAGTGCAGGCAGCCGGCAGTACTGCATTCTAACCACTGCACCTCCACAGCTCTTAAATTGTTTATGTAACAATTTAATATGTAATCTGCATATAACATGCAAATTGCATTTATAAAATGTAATAAATGATGGTTTGTTTAATGTAAATAAAAACAGCTGGTTGAACTCACACAGCATGTTAACCATGAATCAGAAAATTATATCATGGATTTTGTGTTTGCAGTAAATAAGTCTTGCTGTCATATGTGTGTGTTCCTACATCATGGTTATAACTCATGTAATTTGGTGTTTGGTTTGGGTTTCCTGTAATGTATGAACCTGACCTGGGCAAAATCTAGGATTAGTTGCTTGACATTGCAGTAGATATGCTTGCTGTACTTATAACACATATTTTTTTCTTATAATAGATATTTTATCTCCTCTTTTTGGGACTCTTGTATCTTCTGCTCAGGTATATTTTATTTATTGTCTTTTTAATGTAAAATAGAGATCATATTTTCTATAGCAGTGTCAAAATTCAGAATAGTCTTTTGGAAGTGTATAAATAAAATAGCTGTGTATATTAAAAAGGTTCAAAAGCCGTGGTAGAATGATAATAAAACTATCATTTTAAAGACCAGAATCACAAAATAGGTGGCAGACATGAAATTTTGTTTGTGTGTACGATTTACTTTTTATTTTAATGGTATTAAAATATGTATCAATTTATATAAATACATTTATGAACTTAGTTACATATTCATTAGAAATCTATAAGCTAGAGATGGTAAGTCAATATTTGTAATGTTTTAACTTAACTACTTTCGTAGTTCTGCTTGCCAGGATCTCTGAGTGCAAAAGTCTAACCAAACTACAATATTTTTCTTTTTTTTAAATAAATTTTATTCAATTTTCAAAGGTTCAAAACATGAAATAAAACTTTATACACCATTGTATCAACATCAAGACATCTTTTACATTTCCTTACATTTTTCTATATATAATTTCTTATTCCATTACCATTGCATAATTCTTTCCTTACTTTTACTACAAATCAATATATTTCATCTTATATTTCAATTTTCTCCATAATACATATACATATTTACATAATTTCTCATTCTTTACCTAATTGGCATTTTAATTTCTTTTTATTAAACCATTCATACCAGGCGTCCCAGGCTATCTAATATATTGAATCTTCCTTATCTTTTAACTTCATTGTTAGCTTGTCCATTTCTATACAGTGTAATATTATTTACACTATTTTTCATGTGTTTTTAAATTTTCTTAGTTAGGAACCCAGATTTATTATTCTCCAGCAAATCAAGATTGTACATTAATAATACAACCAGTTGCTGTTAAGTAATATAAGTTGGGATCGACAGTTTGGAATGCTTGTTTAATTAGCTGTTTATTCTTGAGAGTATATCCATGCATAAATTAATAGAATGTGTACAATTAGGCACAATTAGGAGAAACCAGGATCTCCCATAATCCCACTTAAATTTTGCATTTGTTTTTGTAGATTGTATGGAATGGCATTTGTTAATTTTCTAATATATTAGAGCAGGGGTGGGCAAACTACGGCCCGCGGGCCACATCCGGCCCATTGGTCTTTTTAATCTGGCCCGCCGAAGTTTGGTACAGAATTAAGGTTTGATGTGAATGATTGAATGATGGCATTCATTTGATTTTGACTTGTAGTGATAGGCATTTCGACACCAGGTGGCGGCCCGTCTGTCAAATTTTAAAAGTCAATGAGGCCCCCGAGCCAAAAAGTTTGCCCACCCCTGTATTAGAGTGTGTGTGTTTTATCAATAAGGCAGCATAGAAATCTGTATAAACATAGGTACAACTTCCAACATGCTGTCATTCATAGGCATAATATTGCATCTCTTTCCTTTTGACTTCTAAAAACTATTTTCTTCTTTTTCCTATGGCAAAGTTTAATTATTGTATAGATGTGGAATGGCTGGTCCAACAATATCCAAAGGAATTCAGGTACATAAAAGAGCTTCAGTATTTAATTTCAGCTTCCATTTTATATTTCTAATTTGTGCATGCTAAGTTTACTGTTGTCAGTATTGTGAGATAAATGTGTTATTTGCTACATTGGATAAGAAAAATAAGTTTAAGGATACAGCAACGGTATCAATCTTTCATTAGAAGATTTGACTCTTTGGAGAAAACAAATGTATTTTTGCACTGAAGAACTTTAATTCTTAGCATAATTTTTATTTAAAAATATAACATGTTTCAAACGTATTTATAAAAATATTTTCTCTTGTTAAATAATCTGTAATCTTCATTGATAATACGAGGATAATATCCACCGGCTTTGAATTAATTTAAAATAGTTGCATTGAAGCAATAGCTGTTTTTGGTATTTTCTGGTAGAAAGGTAGTGTTTACATGTAGTCTGCACTCTGTGTAAGAGTTCTGTTCTAGAGAATTTATGTTAGTTGATTTTTAGGCTCCTTGGATTGTGTCTTGTGCACAAAATGGCAGGTGTTATTTTCAGAACCCGATGTGTCATGTTCAAATTATGTTATTCCAGTGCAATATAATCCAGAGATTGTCGGTTAGTTGCCTACCAGGTATTCAGATACAAGAAGCCAGTATTGGCTGATGGATATGATTGAAAATTCTGGAGATGTAGTCCAAGTGCATTGTGAAATAAATTTCTCCTGTCTATTTATAAAATAGAGCAACACATAGAAAAGGCATCCACTTTTCCCTCCCCATGAATTCTGTAAGGAAAGACATCTGTTCATTTTTGTTCCCTTTAATTTTTCCTACCATTGTGTGGTGCTGAATATTGTGTGGTGCTGAATTATGCTCTCCTCCTTAAGTCATTGCATTTATGAAGGTCTGGATGAAGACAAATGGAAGGGAAACTGAATTGTGGTTACACATTTCTTTTAGAATCCTTGTGGGAAAGGGAGAATACCCTACCTTATTTTGTGCTTGCTTTACAAGAATAACTACATAATTATACAATGTTAGAGGTTAGCATTTTTGGAAGTTGGAAGATAAAGTTGACCTTCCCATGCTGCTGTGAATGTAAGTTACATTTTTAAAGAGGAAGATGAAAAAGTGTAAATAAAACTTTTTACAATTATCCTTGAGAATGTAGCTCAAAACATTTCTAAGATAATTAAGCTGTTTCAAATAATAATTAGAAGCTTGTGCAAGTGATTTTTTATATATATATTTTTAAATCTTAGGGACAAACCTTTATTAATAGTCCATGGAGAGAAGCGAGAATCCAAGGCTGAGCTACATGAAGATGCTCACCCATATAAAAATGTTCGTTTATGCCAGGTAATCACTTTTATTATCACTACATTTACCAAAAGTATAGACAGGTAGTCCTCAATTTATGACCACAATTGAGCCCAAAATTTGGGTTACTAAGTGAAACATTTGTTAAGTGAATTTTGCCCCATTTTATGACTTTTCTTGCTGCCATTGTTAATTGAATCACTACAGTTGTAAAGTTAGGAACCTGATTGTTAAGAGATTCTGGCTTCCCCCATTGTCAGAAGGTCACAAATGGGGATTACAGAACCCCAGTGACACTGCAACCGTCATAAATATGAATCTGTTGCCAAGCATCTGAATTTTGATCGTGTGACCTTGGGGATGCTGTAATGGTCATAACTGAAAAACAGAAGTCTCTTTTCACGGCTGTTGTAACTTTGAACGGTCACTAAATGAACTGTTGTAAATCGAGGACTACCTGTAGTACTCTAACCTGACACTATAAGTTCATCATCTAGCAAGTATGCTCAAAAACTCCTCTCCCCCCCAATGTTTTCATGTTCAACTTTTGAATTTTTTTCCGTGTATTAATGTAATCATGTAAAGCTTTTACTGTATCCTAAAAAATGTATGTATGTATGTTGTGTTTGTGTGTTTGTGTGTAGAGAGAGGGGGGGAGAGGGAGAGCAGGGAGAGTAGTAAAATGAAGGAGTTCTTTTTCCTAATTTTTCATGTTCTCTCACGTTGTATTTCTTTTTTCCTGCATAATAAAGTTGCTTGTGTGACCTTGGGCTAGGAACACACTTTCATCCCAACTCACCTCATAGGATGGCTGTTTTAGGGAAAATAGAAGGAGGATGTTTTCTGCCTTGCGCTATCTCTAAAAGTAATAAAGGCAAGTTATAGATAAAATAATCTACTTAAATCTTCCCTAACTTGGCATTTTTTGTCTATATTAGGACTATAATTCTCAAAATTCCCAGTCATTATGACTATATTTACTGAGAACATTGGAAATTGCAGGTTCAGCTCTGGATGACAATGGCGTTGAGATACAAACTGAGAAATTTAAAATGAATGTGTGACAATTTACTGTACAAAATGATGTGTGAAATATCTTTGAATCAAAGATTATATTATGTAGTATTAGCTATAAAAGGTCTATTGTGCAGTTTGTGCAGCAGCCACCAGAGTGCATCAAAATAAAGCAAAAAAAAAGTATTTTTAGTATTATTTCCATATAATGACAAGTGCCCAATACTGAAAAACATATTTTTAAACAATGTTCTCATTTTAGGCAAAATTGGATATTGCCTTTGGAACGCACCACACGTAAGTAATTTATCATAAATGCTGAATGTCTGCTATAGAAATAAGGTAATTATTTTGATAAATTCCAGTGTGATTGTAGAAATAATTACAATCTTGTTGTGTTTGAGTACTGAGAAAATACAAATAAAATGCCAATTATCTTGATATACCAATTGCCTCTTCTCACTACCTATTTTCTCTACCTCTTTTGCTTTACAAAATACTGTTTTAGGGTAAGCTGCTCTTTGAATTAATAAACCTAATTCATGTAGCATTCCCCTTCCAGAATTCTCAGAAGTAGCTATAGTTGGTGAAGTTTGCTTAGGAGTGTTATCAATATATGAGGAGGTTTTCTCCTGGAAAGGAAGATGCTTTATTATAAGGCAATGAGTTTATAATAAAAGGTACAATCCTATGAATCTCAACTCTCAGTGTTGAAAATACAGGTGTCAGCTATACTAATGGTTTATTTAAAATAATTTAGGCTCATATAGATTGCCTTAAGATGCATTTTAATTTTGATATCTTTTGTGTTAGATGGACCTGGGGCCCAGTTACATTTGTACATACAGTTACATACATGGTCTTACAACAATGGATACTTTGAAAATGTATCAGAAAACAACTTTAATGAGTGGATTTCATTTTTAAAAAATGGGTTTTCTTTTCAGGTGTTCACAAAAGCCTGAAAAGGATAAGTTTATTTTAATGAATAGCAGAGTGGTGATCCACTTGCGCAAGACCCAAAGCACTTTTTACAAATAGTTGTGAAGTGTGTAAGACCTATTCTGCTGTCTTTATACACTGGTCCACAGAAATTACTAGCTAAGATTCACAATTTTATATTCATGGTACTATGACTTCTAACAATATCCTGGCATCCAGGAATATAGCACATTTCCCCCATTATTATAATATTGTGAAATGTTATCTGTTTAAATTCTGGATATCCTTCATTATAAAATTGTCTGTTCTATAATTTCTTTGTAGTATTTTACAAGCCCATCTTAAATGCTCATACCTCTAGGCTATGGCTTGCTAGATTGTGATGCCAAATCCCAATTCTGAAATGACAAAATCCAGTTTAAAAAGTAAGAAATGAATTTAATAGGCAGATAAGATTTTATAAGCTGTTGCAGGATGAGTGGATGGATAGAGCTGGCAGATATATTTAAGATTAACACAAAAATATTAAGTAAAAACATTTGCAACCAAATCAATAACAAATCTTAAACATGTTAAACATGATTAGGAAAAACATAATAAAACCAGAAAATGATAAAAAGACTATAATTAAAATGAAAGCGATGTAAAAATGATAACATGAAAGTAACTTTAAAAAGCAAAATAATTGAAATGATAAAAATACAGAATATAAGAAGGCGGCTGGCTAACTAACAAAATTATTGATTGTGTGCTGTCAAGTTGGTGTTAACTCTTAACTACATTTTTCTCCATGACGATTGTCCCTGATGTGGTTCTTCAATGGTGTATCCATTATTACTGCAATTCAGTAATTTCATTTTGCCCTTATATAAATTATATACACTGCTCAAAAAAATAAAGGGAACACAAAAATAAGACATCCTAGATCTGAATGAATGAAATATTCTTATTAAATACTTCGTTAGTTACATAATTGAATGTGCTGGCAACAAAATCACACAAAAATTTTCGATGGAAATCAAATTTAGCAACCCATGGAGGTCTGGATTTGGAGTTACACTCAAAATTAAAGTGGAAAAAAACACTACAGGCTGATCCAACTTTGACGTAATGTCCTTAAAACAAGTCAAAATGAAGCTCAGTAGTGTGTGTGGCCTCCACGTGCCTGTATGACCTCCCTACAATGCCTGGGCATGATCCTGATGAGGTGGCAGATGGTCTCCTAAGGGATCTCCTCCCACACCTGGACTAAAGCATCCCCCAACTCCTGGACAGTCTGTGGTGCAATGTGGCATTGGTGGATGGAGCGAGACATGATGTCCCAGATGTGCTCAATTGGATTCAGGTCTGGGGAACGGGCGGGCCAGTCCATAGCATCAATGCCTTCGTCTTGCAGGAACTGCTGACACACTCCAGCCGCATGAGGTCTAGCATTGTCTTGCATTAGGAGGAACCCAGGGCCAACCGCACCAGCAGATGGTCTCACAAGGGTTCTGAGGATCTCATGTCAGTATCTAATGGCAGTCAGGCTACCTCTGGTGAGCCCATGGAGGGCTGTGCGGCCCCCTAAAGAAATGCCACCCCACACTATTACTGACCCACTGCCAAACCGGTCATGCTGGAGGATTTTGCAGGCAGCAGAACATTCTCCACGGCGTCTCCAGACCCTGTCAAGTCTGTCACATGTGCTCAGTGTGAACCTGCTTTCATCTGTGAAGAGCACAGGGCGTCAGTGGCGAATTTGCCAATCTTAGTGTTCTCTGGCAAATGCCAAACATCCTGCACAGTGTTGGGCTATAAGCACAACCCCCACCTGAGGACGTCGGGCCCTCATACCACCCTCATGGAGTCTGTTTCTGACCGTTTGAGCAGCCGCATGCACATTTGTGGCCCGCTGGAGGTCATTTTGCAGGGCTCTGGCAGTTCTCCTCCTGTCCCTCCTTGCACAAAGGCGGAAGTAGCGGTCCTGATGCTGGGTTGTTGCCCTCCTATGGCCTCATCCAAGTCTCCTGATGTACCGGCCTGTCTCCTGGTAGCGCCTCTGGACAATACACTGATAGACACAGCAAACCTTCTTGCCACAGCTCGCATTGATGTGCCATCCTGGATGAGCTGCACTACCTGAGCCACTTGTGTGGGTTGTAGATTCCGTCTCATGCTACCACTAGAGTGAAAGCACCGCCAGCATTCAAAAGTGACCAAACCATCAGCCAGAAAGCATAGGAACTGAGAAGTGGTCTGTGGTCACCACCTGCAGAACCACTCCTTTATTAGGGATGTCTTGCTAACTGCCTATGCTTTCCACCTGCTGTCTATTCCATTTGCACAACAGCATGTGAAATTGATTGTCATTGTTGCTACCTAAGTGGACAGTTTGATTTCACAGAAGTGTGATTGACTTGGAGTTACATTGTGTTGTTTAAGTGTTCCCTTTATTTTTTGAGCAGTGTATTATGCCTTATATAAATCATCCTAGGAACAGGATTACGTTTTAAACTTATCATAGAAATACTATTAAAAATTTCTGTTGTGAATTCTCCATCTGGTATAGAATCTAAGAAAACAGCAAGTCAATTTGTGATTATTTTCTTGCAAAGGTACAACATTATTGGTTGTCCTGTATGGGGATCTTGTATCACGATGGCATATTTGAATTGTACTGAGACCTGCCCATAGTCGTTTGCTGAGATGGGCGGCTACAGAACTCAAATACATAATATTTGCATTGTACACAAGTTAGTGAATAGTGGATTTGTGCAGTAAATTCCCTGAATTATAGAGCATTATAATTCATATATGCCATAATTTCAGATTAAAAACATAAAATATTAGAATATTAAAAATATAGAAACAGTGGTGCTAGATAGTCTAGTTATTTGTTATCCATAATGGCCTGCACAATACTTTAGATTTGAAAGGAAAAGGTTCCTTGGAGTCCATAATGGCATGCATGTATGTGTCTTTTTCTGGAATTATAGTTATTTGTAATTCTGTTTGCAAGACAGATTAAATCATGGATGGCACAGCCACATTCTGCAGATGTATTCATATTGCTTGGTTTACATACAATGCTAGCCCATTATGTGCCTTTTCAAATTATGCAATACCAAAAGAAAAAAGCATTATATTAGCATTATGTGTGAATCAGGTCAATGTGTTTCTTAAAAACAAGATAGGACTGATGCTTTTTAAAAAATTCACCAGATAAAAAGTTTGTTATAATAAAGTATGATTTGAGGAATTAAATTTAGCAAACAAATTCATTTTTCTTAAGTAAAGCCTAGTGATATTCATGGTTTTTTTATTTAATTAAAATATTTATACAAGCAAGGTAGTTCTTCTCAATCACAGTTGAGCCCAAAATTTATGTTGCTAAGTAAGGCAGTTGTTTAGTGTGTTTTGTTCCATTTTACAACATTTTTTGCCACAGTTAAGCAAATCACTTCAGTTATTAAGTGAATTCATATCTGGCTTACCCCATTGACTAAAAGCTGTTGGGAAAGTTACAAATGGTGATTTCGTGACCATCGGAGAGTGCAACTGTCATAAGTATGTATCATAAATCGGGGTGAATAAAAATCAATGTTTTTTTAAAAAAATCAGTTTTAATTAAATCAGATTTTCTTAATTTAAAGCGGGTTTTTTTAATCAAATTTATTTTAATAAAATGCTTTTGGAGTAAAAATCTATCCAAAGATAGTTTTCTATTTAAGATACATTAATAATTTAGTTTATTTAGCATGAAATGGAGCTTAGTTATGTAGCATGAGGCTGTATATTCTGCAATATTGGGACTGTTGGTGAGTCAGTAGTGGATCAGAGGAGGAGCCGCTGCAGGACAGAGATGGCAGTTGCTCTTTAAACATGATTTAAATTGAGTTGTTTTAAATCGAGCTTTTTTACTAGTGATTTAAAGCATGATTTAAATCGACTCGATTTAAATTAAATCCACCCTGTCATAAATACATGCCAATTGCCAAGCTCTCAAATTTTGATCACATGACTGGGGATACAGTTAAACCAAATCAAAATCTGATACTGTAGCTAAACTTTTACATGCAGACCACAATTTCATCTCATTAGTCTCATCCTATCCCAAATGGCATGGTGGCTTAGAGGTGGAGCTCTTATCTTACAATCAGGAAGCTGTGCATTTGATCCTAAATAGTGGCAGATATTTCTCTCTCTGGGTACAAAGAGAAAATATATGGTGTGAACTCCACATAGACGTAAGGCAGGGCAGTAAAGCCAGTAAATGCTCAGTTCCATTCAGTCACCCAAACTCCATCCTGTTGCAAGGGATTACAGGGTTGTTAAAAGAAAAAGAAATCGCATCCTATCCCAGTGCTTAGGAGAAAAGCCAAGCCTTAAGTGCTCTTCAGAACATTAAAAGGGTGAGGGCCAGCTAAATTTCAAGGAAAAAGGGTGTTCTATATGGTAGAGGCTGCTACAGAAAGGCGTATTTCCTAGGGTCCCATAAAATGGCAACATTTAAAAGAGGGAACTAGGAACATGCTTACTCCACCCAACCTCTCCTTATTTTTTATTTTATTTATTTATTTGTATCTCACCTTTATTATTTTTACAAATAACTCAAAGCAGTCCTCAAGGAGACACAGTCCTGTAGATAACCTGGTACCATGCAATATAGGACTTTAATGGTAGCATTCAGCATTTGGAATTGCACCCTGTGTTTGAATTACAAAAATTTGGCCATGGTTGAATGACCACAACATGTTTGCTTTGTTTTAGCTAAACAGCACTACTACTGTATATACTACCTTTATTTTGTTCTGTTCTGTTCTGTTCTACTCTACACTACTCTATTCCATTTTTTTTAAATGTCTAGGCTATCCATCTCACTATGAAGGGGCTTTTTACAAGATAAAAGCAACAATATCAATCATTAAACATTAAATAAGATTTTAAATGTTAAGATTAAAATGAGCAAAAATCAACTATAATGGGGCGGAGGTGGGATCTTTTTAATCCATTGACCACCTCCAATGCCAACTCTTAGTTGCCTTCAGAAGTGATTTTATAAACCATTAATCAAAGTATTGTTTCAAAAATGTAAACTCAAAGCTCCTTTGAGTGCCATTAGGATAGAATTAGGAATTGTTAAAATAAAATTTGTACTATTCCTGCATATTTTGTTACAAGTTGGTACTTAATATTTTCTAAAACAATTTTTCCAGATAGTATTGTTTTATTATTATTTTAGGCTTCACTGTTCACTGTATTTTGCAGCATATGAAGCATACTCTAAAGAAGGTTTTGCTTTAATTTCTAAACTATAAATATTTATAACACTAGCAGAACCATGTGTAATCATGCAGTGAGTCAGTTATATGACTAGGTATATTTTTATTTCAGTACATTTTGATTCTCAGGTGCCAGTTTCTAAGGCAACCTAACTTGTTTGGAGGAAAACATCAGGGCAATATTGGACATTTTCTATTTAGAATCTATGGTGATTTAATTACTTTTTTAAGTGTTCACAAAAACAAATGTACAAAAAGAACGTGACTATTAGATTTACTTAGCAATTTTTTAAGTGGGTGACCATAGCAGGATCACACTTCAAATTGTGGGAACAATTGCATATCAGGGTACATTTTAAAATGAAATATATTAAATGCACAGTCTTAAAATTAGACTAGCTATTAAAATGACATGCTTTTATAAATATCTTTAAAAATGTTTGATAGAATTAAATCAGTGAAGAATTCATAGACAATATAGTAGTCAATTATTTGAAAGCACTATTCTCCAGTAAGCTAAAATCTTTTAATGGAGAGATTAGAGTCCCTGAAATCTGTATATGTGTAATTGATTCTTCAAATAATCAATACAGAGTTTTAAAGTAAAACTAATGCTTTAGACAGGCCCCACTATGGCCAATAGACTCAGTATAATATTTGTCATTAACTAAGAATTTCAAATTCCTAATTTAAGTAGAGCCATTAAGAATGCAAAAGCACTAAAATGGTATTGTAATGTTATATAAGCCTTCTATGTACCATGTAGCATACAGTGAATGAAGTACATGTTATAATAAATTGTTTAGTATAATGGCAGTTGGTAATTAGGAAGAAAATTTGTACAAAGTTTGGAAGTTCTTGATAATATAAAAGGACAAATACACTAAAAGAAAAAGATTAGTAAACCATACATTATAGAAATATTAGGCACTAGCATCATTGATCCTCTTGTTTAGATCTGTCATGAGTCCCTGCCAATCTAATCTTGGCAGATACACACACACAATACACACACGCACTTCCCCAAAAATATGTAATATAGAATGACAAAGCAAAAAGAATTCAAGCACAAAATATAAGGAAAGGAAGAAAAGACTCAGACATCTTCATAGTTTTGCAAGAGTATAAATTGGCAGTTGGGACTTTCAAGATTCTGTTATAATAGTGTGTCTTAATAAAATAATTCTCCCCTCCCCGTAGTTTGCTTCCTGATCTGGTCTACATATGAGGCTAATAAAAATGACATTTAGTCCAGCCAATCAGTTGGATAATCAAGACTAGAATATTGTCACAGAATGTAAAGTGTTCCAAGTAAAGTTGTGTTTTGCATTTAAAAAACAAACAAACTAGAATAGATCTACATTCAGGAAATATCACTCTTGAAGGAAAATTTTAGTGACTCAAATGGATCAATATCATTGCAACTCTTTTATAATTCTATTGCATGGTTTTATGTAAATATCCTCTTCATTTTCATCTTGGCAGTTAATTATTTTTTACAATTAAAATTAAATTATTAAATTAAAATTAAATTATTTTATAGGAAAATGATGTTGTTGAATTATGAAGAAGGCCTTCGAGTGGTGATACATACATCTAATCTTATTGATGATGATTGGTACCAGAAAACACAAGGGTAAGAAAAATTATAATTTGATATTTTGGACCATGACTGCATGCCATGGTTAATACCTTCACAACAATCATTGAGTCAGTTATTCTTAGGTGACACATTCTTGTTTATATATTAGTTATTTCTTGCAGAGTTCAAGATAGTCTATGTAATACCACTTCTTTCAGTTTTTTCCACAAAAGCAATCCTATAACTGATCTGAAAGAGAGCAACTGGCCCAAGTCATCTAGTAAACTTCCACTGCTGTGGGTGGATAAGCATCTAGGTCTTCCTGATCTTGCTCCCACCACCACATTTTAAATACAATATCATATTGGATTTTAACTGGCTTGATTTGTGTGATTTCAAAATATAGCAGCAAATCTCCTGGTCATGCAGATTTTAAAAGCAGTATCTGCAATAAATCCTATTTTTATCAACTAAAGAATCATAAACAATAGTTAATAATGTTACTCAGAAAGAAGCATTTCAAAAGAAAATGTCTTGCATGATATAGCTGACTTCTGAAATTACAGTGAAGCTAATTAAATTACTGCATAATTTCCAGGAGGGAGTTCTATGAGTTCTGTACTGCTCATAGAAAAATGCTGTGAATATATTTTCTTACAATTGATGTCTGCAACTGAGAAGGTAGTGTTTTGCTCTCTTTCTCATACAACTCAGAAAGATAAAGAACCTTTTTTTATTCAGAATAAAGAGTATTTCCTGAACATAGAATGTTTGCTTTTAGAGGGGAAATGACAGAAAATATTTGGCTTTTTTGTACATAATAGCTTATTTGGTCATCTACATACCCCATTTCATTCATCAGTATAAACAATATAACTCATGGTTGTTGCTTTAATATCCTAAGATTGACTTAATGAGTTGCTTAAGTTCTTGGGTCAGACTGTCCTGAACTTCTATGTCTCCGCACATCTGTCTTTCCTTGCTACAGAGATAAATTATGAATGGGGAAACTTAAAAAAAAATTTATGCACCTTTTTACTCTTGCCATGCTCTGTTTAGTGATACCTGGGTTTTTGTGAATCTTCATTCCATCCTTGTTCTTCCTTTTTAACACTTACATGGGAGCAACACATTTACAGACTTCCTTTTCTTTCTCCACACAGTGATAGAGTACTCAACAAAAGGTTTATAAAAAGCCCAGATGTATTTGCAGATAGGTTGGGGATCCATTAGTATAACAGAAGCCATTTCTTTTACATAACTAAATAATATTTCCTGATGAGGTTTCTTTGAAAATTTAATTATTATTTTTTTACAATATAGGAAGGCCTCACTTAACTACCACTATCAGGGCCGCACTCTCAGTCGCTGAGCAAAATGAGATTTAAGCACAATGTCACATGATTGTCCACATGACAGGTTTGTTCATTGAGTGCAATGCTGGCACTCCTGGTTGTGGTTGTTAAGCAGACACACACAGATTGTTAAACAGATGGAGTCCCAGCTAAGGAGCACAGGATGGGAGGGGAACATCCTAGGAGGTTCCACTCAGGAACTGAAAATCCTCCTTGCCAAAATCCATACAGGATTTTTAGCCCCTGAGTGAAGAGACACTTGCATGGGGCCTGCACCAGGTCTCCTCACCTAACTGAGGCACCCTACACTCCTTAACTTACTGCGCTGCTACTTTGCTCAGGAGCTGAAAATTGTGCTTGGATTTCAGTCCATCTTGTCCCTAGGTGTTGAGTGAAAGAGCTGTGTCCTTGGGGTGCAGATTTGAGCTCTGTTTCTGCACTCTATGGGAGGATAGCAATAGCACTTAGACTTATATAATGCTTTATAGTGCTTTACAGCCCTCTCTAAGTCGTTTACAGAATCAGCATATTGCCCCCAACAATCTGGGTCCTCATTTTACCCACCTCGGAAGGGTGGAAGGCTGAGTCAACCTTGAGCCTGGTGAGATTTGAACTGCCAAATTGCAGGCAGCTGTCAGTTTTTTCTGTACATGTGGAAGGCAAATTCTTTGGTGAGGTGGAGGAATAGAGCTTAAATCATCAGGATCTGAGCTCCATTTCTTTATCCCATTGAAAAAGTTCAATTCCTCTCAGCAGGCAGCAATTTCAGCCAGCCCACAAAGATGAGAAGAAATCCTCTTGGCAGGTGGCAGCAGCTGGCAATCATCCATATCGGCTTCCCCACAGACTTTCTGGGGTAGCTGTGAGAAGATTGCAAATGGCGATCACATGATCATGGGGCATTGGCAATTGATCAAAAGTGCAAACAGATTGCTAATCACCCAGATTGTTATCACATGACATGGGAGGAGGAATCACGTGATGTGGGAGGAAGGCAGAAGGACATTTTACAATGACCAGAAGGACTTTACAGGCATAAAACACTCTCTGCAGCCATTGTAACTTTTAATGGACATTAAATGATTGGTTGTAAATCAAGGTCTACCTATATGATTTCAAGACACAGTAAATGTTCATAATTCAGGTTTGATAGAGTATGATGTCATAACTGAGTTTAACTTTGCTTTGCAAAAAAAACAAAGTGAATGTGTTTATTCTTTTTAAACTACATAATATGTGCTTGTTAATGCTATTTTGTTGCTTTTTAATATTTTAGAATATGGCTAAGTCCTTTGTATCCAAGATTGCCTCCTGGGAGTGCTGATTCTGATGGTGAATCTCATACAAATTTTAAGTCAGATCTAATAAGCTATTTGATATCTTATAAATCTCCTAGTCTGATGGAGTGGGTTGAAATAATTAAGCAACATGATCTTTCAGAGACAAGGTATATAATTCAATGTATTAAATTATCACAGTTCCAATGTTCATTATACTTATACAAAAATAATTTGTTTCAGTATAAGCCATTTTTAAACTATAAAATTGCATTCATTGAAATAGGTTACAGCATTGAAGATGCATTTTTGTAAGTTGGTTACTAAAGATAATGTCAGTATTTCTTTTTGAAAAGCATTTGGTTCGTATGTTCAGCAATTTAAATTAGACTCTGGGCAGAAGCTTTTTGTTAAGATGTGTCTAGGTTTTTTAATAAGCAGTAATGCAGTTTGGAGAAAAACTATTTTAAAATAAACTGTATTTATATGCTGTATAAATATGCTGTAATAACATATGCACTATGACACAATTTGGGAAAACACCAAACTCTGTGTGGTTATTTTTTATACAGAGTATATCTTATTGGGTCAACTCCAGGTCGATATCAAGGTAATGCAAAAGAAAAATGGGGTCATCTTAAACTGAGAAAGGTACTAGATGTTTATGCCTGTCATCTTTCCTGTATTTCTGATAAATATTTGTAGAACTATGAAATAGTTGGAATATTTCCAAGTAAATATTTGTAAAATTATTTATTTATATTTCATGTTTCTAAACTGGCCATCTAGACCACACATCTCCCTCGAGGGAATGTGAGCAGTGAAGACGTATCTTATGAAGACGTAATCTTGTTACTCGTTATTGTTGAAAAATTCATTGCTAGCAGCTTTTCTAAGAGGATAGGATAGCATACCATAGCATACCATAGGATAGAATAGAATATTTTATTGGCCAAGTGTGATTGGACACACAAGGAATTTGTCTTGGAATAATCTTCAGACTTAGAAAACTGTTAAGACAATTCATCATAAACGCATAAACCCAGTTTGTTTCAGTGTTAGGCATTTTGGACTCTCAAGTTACGAAAAAATACACAGATGTAAACAAAAATAAAAAAACAAGAAAAAGCAAAACAAAAGTTGAAAAGTATGAACCATCTACGCATGTCATTTCAAGTTTTAAACATGAAAATTTCAAATTAAAATAAAACATTTTGTAAAATTTGAATTCTGTGTCAAATGAAATGCATTGCATCATTTTTAGTGCAAAAATGATTTTCAAAACTAGATTAATTCTACATCTTAAATTCAGTTCTTAATGTCTGGAATAATTGCTTTTCCAGTTTTTCAAAATAATTTTGTGAGCAGTGGACAATTCTTCAAAAACAATCAAACTCTACATTTCGTGAACATAATTCAATATATTAATATCTTGAATTATCTAGCTAGCTATACAAATGTTGTTCTAAAAATACCAGTAATTTAGAAGACCAAATCATATGTATTAATGTTGCCATAATTTTTTTACATTGCTGCAGAGAAAACATACATCCTTTCAAATATATTCTTCCACAGTTTCAATAAACTTAAAATGGAATCTCTTGATGCTTGGTTTCATAAATGGACTCCATCATAAGAGATAGCACCTCCGATTACTTTGAAGTAGTTAAAATATTTGGTCTATGTTGAGATATTAAAATATGACTGAGTTGATTATTTTAGGGAATACGGAACTTCCATCTGAAGTTCAGAGAAATCATAAAATAATCAATACAGAGGAATTGCTCTAAAATATTTGATGTCTGATCTGTTCCTTCTATAATCCACTATAAGCTCCTTGGTCTTATTGGTGTTGAGGACCAAGTTGTTGTCTTCACACCACGAAAGCAACCGGTCCACCTCATCTCAGTAGGCAGACTCATCCCCCCACCAGAGATAAGTCCCACCACTTTAGATGGCTCCATTGCTGCAGTGACCAGTTTGCAGTTTTGTACTTAGAGGTTTCTATATATTTTATATTTGTGGTTCTTTTCCCATTGTTGTACACCACCCAGAGTCACTTTTGGGGAGATAGATGACTATACAAATTTGATAAATAAATTGGATCTGTCCCCAACTGAGCCTTCAGGTGTTGCAACAATGAGCCCATTATCATTACAATTGGATCCATCCACTCTGCTGCTGTTTGTCTTTTTTTCTGTTTTTTTCATTTTTCCCAGCATTATACGTACACTACATTATACATTATTTAATTAGCAGATTAATAAGAGATTTAGGCTTACTTTTGCAGTCTCTGCAGACAAGGTTAGAATTTTACACACTGCATACAATCTTGAATTGTTCCAATTAGACAGCCCTGTATTATTGTTATTGTTAGGTAACTCAGAATTTTATGCCAAAAAATTGTATTTGGATTGCTGCAACAATTGGTAGTTTCAATTCATTGTCCTTCAGTTTACAAAGGGACTGGAAACTTAATTGGTTTTATATAGAAATTGAACGCTGGTTTTCCCACTAATAGTAGTGGATATGTTAGCCTGCGTCTGCCGTAATATAAGAGTTAAAGCTCAACATATATGGAAGTTATTCAGGAAAGTAAGATTTCAGCACAAGTCTCTGCAATAATTGCAGTATACACTGTTGTATAGAATATTGAACATATGCAACTAATTAAGGAGCAATAGCTTCATAAATGATAATTTGTGCCTTGTCTGTTACTTAATTGAATAATTGAAGGTAATAAAGTGTTAATATTTTATTGTTGTTTCTGTTTTTTCCCCCAAACAGCTTCTGAAGGAACAAGCAACACAAATACCTGATCAAAATTCTTGGCCTATAATAGGACAATTCTCAAGTATTGGATCAATGGGAGTTGATCAGTCCAAATGGCTGTGTTCAGAATTTAGAGAAAGTTTGGGGAGTTTAGGAAGCAATTTGAAGAATCCTCCAAATCAAATTCCTATCCATCTGGTATTGGCCACTTGATACATACATATGTGTGGGTCTGGACATTTATGAGAGAGTGTGAAAATTTAACGTGTTTATAAAAGTTAGAACAGCAGAATATCTGCTACTGGGACATTTATTTACAGAATATACTGTATTATTGTTAAAAATGTACCTGCCCACACACACTGAAATCTTCTAGAATCCAGTGTACAGAAAAATAGTGAGGTTTATGCCCTCCTATACAAGAAAGGTTTTCTTGAATAATGAATGAGTCAGAGGCCATTTATTCCCCTTAAGCCCTCACCCAGAATGATTAGAGCTGACAGCCTTAAGGGCAGGGATTCAAAATAGGGGTACTTGTTCCCATCTCCACTCTTAAAACTGGGGGGAAATCCTAACATAGGAAACCAGCTTCCTGAATGGTTGCTATGGAGAGATAATGTATGAAGAGCAAATAATGGCACTACAAAAAAAATGAGCAATTTTGCCATCAAATTTTAAGAGTATAATCTGTTGGTTGCTCATCCTTACTGAAAAAGCATTTTTCATCTCCACAAAATCTCTACTTTGCTTTTTTAAGTATTCAGATTTCAAAATGTTTATTTAATTCAACCAGTCTTTGCCAAATCAGCACTGTGATTTAGTCAAGCTTTGAATCAACATACAAGTCTACCCAGAAGCTAGTTTCTATGTTACAGATTTTTTAAAAAAAATTGTAGCCAAATCTCAAAAAAAAAAAACAGATAAGTTTTCAGCAAACCAATAGCAGCATCAAACTTGACTGGTATATACTCATGCTCTGTTACTTGGTAGTATTTTGATAATTGGTAAATTATATAACATGCATGATGCATTTTTTATTATTACCTGATATTATATTTGCTTTTCTTTGTTTAGATTTACCCAAGTGTTGAAAATGTGAGACAGAGTTTAGAAGGTTATCCAGGTAAAATATATATATATATATATATATATATATATATATATTCCTGTCTTCGATAATAAAAAT